CAAGATCTGGACAATATCCAGGCTTGGACTGACAAGTGACATTTGCGCCACACAAATGCCAGGCTATGACCATCACCAATAAGAGACAATCTAACCACCGCCCCTTGACATTCAATGATGTTACCATCATTGAATCCCCCACGATCAACATCCTGGGGGTTACCATTGACCAGAAACTCAACTGGACTCACCACATTAACAGAGTGGCTACAAGAGCAGGCCAGAAGTTAGGAATACTGCAGCAAGTAATTCACCTCCTGATTCCTCCAAAGCCTGTCCACCATCTACAAGGCACAAGTAAGGAGTGTGATGGAATAGTCCCCACTTGCCTGGATGAGTGCAGCCCCAACAACACTCGAGAAGCTTGATACCATCCAGGACAAAGCAGCCCGCTTGATTGGCACCACATCCACAAGCATCCACTCCCTCCACCACCGACGCTCAGTAGCAGCAGTGTGTACTATCTACAAGATGCACTGCAGAAATTCACCAAAGATCCTCAGACAGCACCTTCCAAACCCACGACCGCTTCCATCTAGAAGCACAAGGGCGCAGACATATGGGAACAACACCACCTCCAAGTTCCCCACCATCCTGACTTGGAAATATATTGCCGTTCCTTTACTGTCGCTAGGTAAAAATCCTGGAATTTCCTCCCTCATAGCATTGTGGGTCAACCCACAGCAGGAGGACTGCAGCGGTTCGAGAAGGCAGCTCACCACCACCTTCTCAAGGGCAACTAGGGATGAGCAAGAAATGCTGGCCAGCCCATGATGCGCACATCCCACAAAATGGATAGAAAAAACAACTATTGAGTGAGCAGAAACTACCATTGAATCTATTTCACATCAAGTTTTTCTGTCCCATTTGTTCTCTTCCCTCTCGAATGTTATGATGTAGGTGTTTTCACCTTCGTCACGAAAAGGTGCTGTGTAGCACAGCTTCCTTCTGAACTGAAAGACAATTAACCTAGCAGAAAGTTGAACTTTGTGTTGAATCTGCACAGTCTGTTTGAGGTCTGTCTTTAGGCTACAAGCCTTTCTGCTGCTGAGCAAAGTTCCCAAAGTAAATCTTGTGAACTCTTCTTTAAAACTTCAAGCAGTCAGAAATCACAGGAGTTGGCATTTTGTTTTGTGATTACAGGAACTCCTGTGTCTCTTGAAGTCGCCAATAGCTTGCTAGATCTACTCTGTGTTTATGGAGATAAAGAGCCACCGAGGGAGGATCAACTTGAGCCAAGAGAAACTGAAGATAAGGTATCAGGATGCGACATCATATCAGTGAATGCATGTATGCAACAAACAAAAACCAGCAAGGTTCATCTAATCAAAACTGCTCACTACTGTTGCATTGTACCACTAGTGGCACTGCCTTCAGCTGTCTAGGCCCTTGTCTTTAGAGCCACCTTTTTAAATAATTCTTCCTCAAATGACCTGCTTAACTAAGGCATTGCTCATTTGTTGTACAACCCTTCCTTAGCGTCAGCAGTAATTCCTAAAGTTGATTATGCTCATATGAAGTACTTCAAAGCTTTGCATTCAATGTGTTATTATAGATGCATATCATTAGCGCTTTCTTTAAATACTGTTTTTCAGCATCTCTGGACAGCAGTGATTCAAGAAGGCAGCTGACCAGCACTTTCTCAAGGGCAGCTAGGGACAAGCAATAAATGCTGGCCAGCCAGTGATGCTCATGACCCACGTGTGAATAAATACAAATAATAAACTTATCATTGTCACCTCAAGACCATAAGATATAACTTGTTTTTGATGCATGTACTGTTCACCTTAAAAAAAAAAAACTGGCAAAGATGGCTTTTTATACTTGTATTACAAATGTCATAGAATCCCTACAATGTGGAAGCAGGCCATTTGTCCCTTTGAGTCCACTCTGACCCTCTGAAGAGCATCCCACCCACACCCTGTAATCCTGCATTTCTCATGGCTAATTGACCTAGTCTGCACATCTCTGGATACTACGGGCAATTTAGCATGGCCAGTTCACCTAACCTGCACATATTTGGACAGTGGGAGGAAATTTAAGCACCTGGAGGTAAGCCGTGCAGACATGGGGAGAACATGCAAACTCACAGCCAGGCCCCAGAGGTAGGAATCAAACCCAGGCCCCTGGTGCTGTGAGGCAGCAGTGTTAATCATTGAGCCACCCTGCTGCCCAAATGTCATTCCTGCCAGATGTTTTGGGACCAGATGTTAATGATCAGTGTCTTTTTAATTTGAGAAAAGTAAAATTACGATCCAAAACATTGAAGTTGGACATTAGCAGACGTGCAGTACAATTTAAATTCTTTCCATATGGCGTGTGATCAGTGTTTAAAAGGGGTTTTACTTTTTAAAATTGTTTCTGTTCTTTCCCTCGCCGACTCTTGTTCTAATTCTCGTGGATGTCCGTTTTTAGGATGAGGTCACTGGAGCCTTGCAGAAAATGCAGAGGGGTCGTCCACGCAGAGTTTCAGATTTGCTTAGCGTCACTTGGAGGTAAAGAGGTGCTATTTTTGTCATCTTCGTTGCTTTCTCTTACATGAGGTTTGGGCATCACTAGTTGGCATTTGTTACCTATCCCTAATTGCCCTAAAACTGTAAAAAGGCATTTTAGACAGGAGGCAGCTATATTGCTGCAAATCAGTTGTAGGCCAGACCAGATGAGGATGGCAGATTTACTTTCCTAAAGGGCATGAATGAAGCCTGTGTTTATTTTATTACAGCAGTCAATAAAAGTTTCATAGTCACCATTTACTGAGGTTAGTTTCATATGGTTCAAATTTTTAATTGAAATTCAATGTCCGCCATGGTACAGTTTGAACCTGTGCCCACTAAACCGTAGCCAGGTCCTCTGGATTGCTAGTGCACTGACGTAACTGCTATGTTACCATCTTCCCTTGAGGCTTTCCACTTGAGGTCACTAAACGTTCTGACATTAGCCGAGTTTTATTTTGGTTTCCGATCAATCAGTAAGATTCTTGCAAGATCTGTTTTCACAGCTGTTCAACCTTGAACTGTAAACAATGAAATGCAGAGTATCCAAAGTGTTCTGTTTGGCTTTCCAGTTTTAGAAATCTCTTCTAGTAGCAAAGCTCCAGCCGACTCAGCCAGTAGTATCTGGTACAAGGACAAGTGAGCAACAGCTGGTGCCAGTGGCTTGGTTGGTAAAGGTGCAGAGTTTACCTTCCCAAGACCAGGTTAAGACCTCAGTCTGGATTGAATTATCTGAAACAAAAAAAATGCTAGGATACTTGGCCACTTTGTGTTCTCATCTTGATGGCAAAGATAAAATGTGGAGTTTTTGCCAAGGTCTTGTGATTTTTTTCTTTTTATTTCACTACTTTTTTCCTTTATCTTTTCATTGATTTGGCTGCATTTTTTGACGAACATCGTATAGCAGAGAGGCACCTGGGTTGAGGCATGTGGAGAAAGAAGCGCAGGGGTTGCATGAGTATCGTTTTTGATTCCACTTAAAAAGGTGTCCAAATGTAGTCACTGATGACTGGCCCATTGTGCAATCCAAGTTCCAGCATGAATGTTAAAAACAATGGAGAAATGCGAAGACCACGGTATGGCTTTTTTTTCCTAAAAAAAAACAGTTGTCGACCAACAACCAGGGACTGAGATTGTGTTGGCTGGACCTCGCTTGGTACAGGCTGATTTATTTCTCCAAAAGATGTTGTTAAATCAATTCATTTCGCGTTTTTGTTTGAAAATCTGTTGCTTGTTGTTGATATCTATGCAAGGTCTTAGAAAACAGTTGGAACTACATCTTAGAATAGAAGAGCAATGGACAAAGAAGAATTAGGCAGTGGCATCTCACCAACATATTGGTCAAAATCTATTGTATTCCTAACTTTTATCAGTTCTGATAAGGCCTTCAACATGATCTGTTCCTCTGTCTCGACACAATTACTGCCAGGTCTGTTGAGGCAGCAGTGCTAACCACTGAACCACCGTGTGTGTATGGTGCCAGCAGTTATTGTCACTAATAGTCTCACTAGTACAGTACAATCCGGCCTGTACTTCTACTGATGGTTATCACGATGTTCATCACTAGTATTTGTGCTATTTTGCTTTTATCCAGTCATTGCATTTGAAATTCCACCAAAAATGTGCATGTGGTCAGAAAATAGACCAAGACTTTTGGGACAATACGATCACTTTTTAAAAATGTTATTTTGTCCTGGGTTTTGTGGGGTTTTTTTTTTGAAGAGAGGTTATGAAGGCAGCGATAGTGAAGTGGCTACTAAAAATGGCCTGAGTCAATAGTTTAGGAGACCTTTAGGTTTTTTTAAAAATAGTTGTAACAATGGAAGGAGAGTGACCAGTTCTCATAGATCAGGCTTTCTAGCTTTTTTTTTTAAGCTGTAGCAGTCAGAAGCTGTTTTGGGTCCTAGAAGAGTTGGATCTTCAGTAAATGATTCCTAATTGTGTGACTTTCTCTGAAATTTCTCGATGTTGTTGCCTTCTGATTGGAAAACAGATCGTAAGAATCTATCTGAATGTACCTTTTTGCCAAGCATTGTGTTTGAGATGTTACTATATTGAAACACCTAATTGGTAATAGGTATTGTATCTATTATTCAGTTAAGTTTTCCAATAGTTAAGTTATTCTAAATTCCACCAAATTCTTTTATGTTTGTATTTTAACTATAAAGTTTAAATAAATTTGTGTTTTGCTTAACGTCGAGTGGTTTGACCAGTCGGATTAGGATGGAACAGACTTGAAATCTAGCTTTAAAATAAGAAAAAGTTAGGGTCTTAAAATATTTTGAGGTGGTTTGGTATGGTGCATAACACTTTCTCTGCTCCCCTTCAGGGAGAACAATAATGCAGAGAGGATATTCAGCCTGATGCCCAAACGAAATGAACGTTCTTTCTGTACAATGATTCGAGGAATGATTAAGGTATTGCGGGTAATAGCGATCCTCAACGTTTGCTTCTGTCTTGCTCATCTGGGTTGAGCTATTGTTAACACCTGGTTTGTTTGTTTAGCATGGTGCTTGCACGAAGGCGATGAACTTGTACACGGATTTATTGAACAATCGAATGAAAGGTGAGGGCTGGAAAAATGGTTTTGCTGATTGTACGTGCTCCCTAAATTTTGAATGTCTAGCCACATAGTCTTATTTAGAGGTGTGAGATAGACAGAATGCTGTTCAATTGCACGGAAAATTATGCAAAAAGTTAAAGGGGAGGGTGGGCTCAGCAGAAGTTATTGAAGTTTCCACAAGTAATAGGATAGCATATGGAAAGCTTCAGGAATCTTATCTTCAGCCACTGCATATGAGGGTACAACTAGGAGAAGGAAGGCTGTCAACATTGGACTAAGTGCGTTAAACTTCAATGCATGCAGTATACAAAGCAAGGTAAGTGAGTTTGTACCACAGACTGAAATTAACAGGTATGATGTTGTGGGTATCACAGACGTGGCTGCAATAGGATCAGGTCTGGAAACTAAATATCCAAGGGGTACACATCCTATTGAAAGAACAGGCAGATGGGGCAACGTTGCCTTGCCTTGTCAGTAAGAAATGAAATTAGATCAAAAGCAAGAAGTGAGAGTTGGAAAGTGTAGAATCTGTGTGGGTAGAGTTGAGGAGCCACAAAAGAGAAAAGATCCTGCCGGAAGTTATGTTCAGGCCTCCTAGCAGTAGTCAAGACGTGGGGCAGAAAATAAATCGGGAGATGGAAAGGGCATGTAAGAAAGGCACTATTACATCATCAAGAGGGACTTCATTACGGTTGGTAATAGATCCCGAGAAAAAGAATTTGTAGAATGCCTGCGATGGGTTTTATATTTGTTTTGGAACAGCTTTTGGTAATTCTGGATTTGGTGATGTGTAATGAGGCAGATATGATTGGGAAGCTTAAGGTGAAGGAACCCCCAGAGGGCAGTGACCATAATATGATTGAATTCACCATGTAATGAGAGGGAAAAGTTTGAATTGGATGTACCAGTATTAGAATTGAGTAAAGGTAACCTCAAAGACATGAGGGAGGAGCTGGTCAGAGCTGATTGGAAGGGGAGCTTAGCAGGGAAAACAGTGAAGCAGCAATGGCAGAAATTTCTGAGTAATTTGAGTGGCACAACAGAACTTCATCCCAAGTAAGAAGAAATGTACCAAAGGAAGGATGAGGCATTAATGGTCATTCAGGGATCACTAGAATCAAGGAGTGTACCAAAGGACTGGGAAATGGCTAATGTAACACCCTTGATTAAGAAGGGAGGAAGGCAGTAGACAGGAATCCATAGGGTGCTCATTTGTTGGCATGATTTTAAAGTGCATCATTGAGGATACGATTGAAGACTACTTAAAAGTGCATGGTAAAATAGGACTGAGTTAACACAGCTGAGTCAAGGGGATGTCTTGCCTGACAAATCTGTGCAAATTATAATCATATTGCATGGAAGCAGACCTTTCGGTCCAACCAGTCCATGCTGACTGTAATCCCAAACTAAACTATTCCCACCTACTTCATGATATTACTGCTGCTATGTTGAGTGGGAGATTTTGAACAGGCACTTTCAAAATCTGAATGGTCTCAAGCAAGGCTGTGTTTTAGCCCCATAGTGTTGGCAACCAACTTCGTGTTTATTCACCCCATCAAAGATCAACTGCCTCTGCTATGCATGTTAAATGCCGCCTTGATGGAAAACTCTTAACTTCCATTGTTTCTGTCAAATCTCAACTGACCACCATAGACCTACATTATCTACAGTTGGCAGATGACGACAGCGTTGTTGCTCACTCAGCAACAGGTATTCTACTCTCAATCATTCCAATTCTCAATACAAGAAACTCGGCCTGTATTTGAATTTGCCAAAATAAAACGCGTACCAAGCCAAACCTGATTAGCTAAATATTCCACCACCCATGTATTGTTGAAGGAGATACTCTGAAATATATTGAATCCTTCCCATACCTTGTCTGCCAGCTCTCAAAGGTCACATGACAAGGATATCCAACTCTAAATCAGCTGCACCAGCTCAGCCTTCTACGAATATAGCAGCCAATGTTTGATGAGAAAAAGCACCATAGGTCAACAGAAATCCGAGTGTGCAGAACAGTTCTCGTCGTCATCATGATCGTCGTCGTCGTCATCATGATAGTCGTCGTCGTCATCATGATAGTCGTCGTCGTCATCATGATCGTCGTCGTCATCCAGCTCTGGACTGTGTATCAGTAACACAAGCAAATTTCAGCAACATTGCCTCTGCTGCATCCTCCAGATTCCATGGGAATTTCTTGAAACTAGCTCAGCCAGATATTTTGTCACAATGCCCTAAAAACGAGGGAGACTAGTTATAGGAAAAGGAAGCAAATTCTATATTCCTGAACCCGCTGTCTCATTGAATGTCCTGTCCTACATGAGCATAGATCTGAGAGTTGAGAATCGACCTCTTTAGATTAAAGAACAAAGATTAATGAAGAACCGTGTCAGATTCTCGATTGAGTAAATGTCGTCCTCCAAATAACAGGCAGGCAATGACCTGGTCCATCGCAGTGACGTTCCCCAATGCATTCACACTGTCTTTCTCCTGGATGGGATTGTAATCACCTGGTTCCAACCTCGTCTGTCTAATTGTCGTCCGATATATCTAATCCTAGCCTACAGCAACTTATCTTCTTGCTCCCACATTGCTATCTCAGCTCCCCTCCCTATCCCAATGAGACTCTGCCTAGCTCCATCCCTGTTTCTTATCGCCATGCTGCCCCTCCACAATGTTATTGGAAAATACATCTGTTTTCATAGTTACGCTGAGGACACCAACTCGGCCCACCTGCTGCCACTTTATCACCTCCACCATCTCTAAATTGGGTTGTTTGCCAAACCAGTGAACTTGTCTGCAGCTGAACATTGTAATGCCTGTTGTCATTTTCTTCAGTCTCTGCCACAAACTCCATGCCTTAACCGCCAAATGCAAATGCACCTAAGGTAATCCAAAACTGCTGCCTGCATCCTAAATCTCTCTCCGTTCCATTCATCCATTTCCCCGATACTTACTGTCATGTACTGAGTCCCAGTCTAAACTACAATTTTTAGATTCTCAGACAACAAGGTGTGGAGCTGGATGAACACAGCAGGCCAAGCAGCATCAGAGGAGCAGGAAGGCTGACGTTTTGGGTCTAGAACCTTC